ACCACAGATAACATATTTATTTTAAAAACTCTTATAAATAAGTACTTAAAATATAAGAAACAAAACATTTATGCATGTTTTGTGGATTTTACCAAAGCCTTTGATACAGTTGATCGAACTTTAATGTTACACAAACTATACCAAAAGGGCATAGGTGGGAAATTTTACAATGTTATAAATAATATGTACTCAAACACTAAATATTGCTGTAAAGATGAATCTTGCTATAGTGAACATTTTATAGCTACACGCGGGGTTAAACAAGGAGATAATCTTTCCCCAACACTTTTTAATATATTTATTGATGACTTCTACTCGCAGTTAGTTAATTATAACACAAACCCTCCTGAATTACAGAATATTGATGTCGGACATTTATTCTTTGCAGATGACTTAATTCTCCTCTCTACTACTAAAGAAGGTCTCCAAAACTCAATAGACTGTCTCTCAGAATATTGCATAAAATCCAAATTGACTGTTAACCTTGATAAAACTAAAGCAATGATTTTCTCAAATAAGAAACCTGACACAGCTCAACATTGTTTTTATTATATTCATTCAATAGTTCATCTTGAACATGAATATAAATATCTGGGAATTATTTTTACTTATAATGGTAAACTTAAGTATGCAGCTGAACACCTAGCTGACCGTGCAAGAAAAGCTTTTAATGCAATGAAACACTCTTTACCATTTCATAATAGCTTATCTGTAAAAACTCTTTTAAAACTATATTCTTCACTTATTGAACCTATCATTTTGTATGGTTCTGAGATATGGATTTCAGACTTTAATATTAATATAAACAATTGTGATCAACTACCTTTTGAAAAGATACAGCATTTAATATTTAAAGACATCTTGGGTGTACAGAGAAAAGCTTCAAATTTAGCCATTAAATATGAGCTAGGAACACTTCCTATTTGTTGCAAAGCTTTCATCTCTATGTTTAAATATTATAAGAGACTAAAAAACCATAATAATAAAAATGGAATTAGAAATCAAATTCTTATTGCTGCTTTCTTAGAAGATGACATTCTTTATAATAATGATGTAAAGGATAATTGGCAGAGTCAGATTGATAAATTAAAAAAGAAACTTAAACTTCCATCATTAGATATCACTGATGGCACATTTAGCAGCTACTTGAAGAATTTCTACATAAAAAATGTTAATTTGCAACTTCAGAACATTGAATTCACCAAATGTGGTAAATTATTATTTTACAGTCAAATTAGAAAGAACTATGAATTACAAGACTACTTGAAATTTCCAATTAATAAATCTGTACGTTCTAAATTAACAAAACTGAGAATTTCTGCACACCCTTTAGAAATTGAAATTGGCAGATATTCAAAGCCTTGTATCCCAAAAGAATCTCGTTTTTGTCACTATTGTAAAAATGTTGTAGAAAATGAAATACATTTCATATATGACTGTCCTATATATAAAGATTTGCGAAAAAAGTATTACCCTTTGAACATCTATAATTTAAATGATAACATGTTGAAGGAAAATCATTGTAAAGTACTTTGTAATCCTGACAATGCAGTTCATTCTAGAAGGCTGTGCGAATTTTTACATGAACGTTTTGAATTGCGTTCTAAAAATAGAGCACAATAATATATATTTAATGCATTAATTAGTTTATCTCTGTCCATATTATACTGTTTATACTATTTGCATAATGATTATGTATAACTTCAAGTTGTAAAAGTAGTTGACTTCACTGATTTGTACACTTGCATGTATGTATGTACTTTAGTATATGTTTTAGTAATCTGAAAACACACTGTATTTTTCATTTTGTTTGTAACATGGTTGTATGCCAACATGTTTGGTGAATCAATAAATTGAATTGAATTGAATTTTATGTATCAGTCGAAAACGATATATTTAAAAACAGCTTATAGAGACAAAAGAGTTACATTATTGATAACATACAGTGCATATTAGAATACAAAAATAGGAAAAAGGTGACTCGACCCCAGATTTAAAAAGAAAAAAAAATGGGAAAAGGGGGCCGGGGTCCATACCCCAAGTGCCTGTGCCCCCCAACTGAAAATGTTTGGTTGTGCCCCCCCCCCCCAACTGAAATTGCTTCCTACGGGCCTATCAGACACAGGTATACAGTCATAGATATACAAAATGTACGCTGTAGTAAATGTTACTTTTTAGAGATTGTGCAATGGATTTAGGCATAGTCAAGTTTACATATATTTTCCTCGATATATTCACTAAGCCAGTTATCGTTACCGTTTTGGCGATTACAGCCTTCCATAAAGTAGATTTATTTAAAATCAGAAATTTTCTTTCCTCCATATTAACACATTTCGTATTTTTCATTAAAAAAACAATCCATATTTAATTAACAACATATAGTTTAATACGTTGAACAATCCGGAAAATCTTGCTCTGACATTCCGTTTTTGATATTAGTGAGCAGGTACAGTCATGGATGTCCGATACCAGCATTGCCGAGTACAGTTGCGGATGATAGCTGACAGCCACTGTTGGTTGATGCCCAGGGATGCTTCAAGCGGCCAAAGAAGCCGGTTGTAATCGATTACGCAAATGTGACGTCTGTATAGACGTATCTTGCCGACATGACGTCACACGCGGGAGTCCTGATCGTGGGCGGTCCCAAACGGTGCCAACTTGCTGATATCGTCTCTATAAAGAATTTATAGTGTTAATACGAACTCAAAACTGCCTCGTCACATTGCTTTAAGACATCTCAATAACAGCCAAACGATCATTCTGAATCAAGCGAGGCATTTCAATAAACATTTTATTCCAAAATTAAAAAAAAATGTTTTCTGTTTCATCACATTTTGAATACCTTCAATAATTGCAAGAAGTTTTAATCGATTGCTAACTACCTATCGCATAGGCCATAGATAGATCGCGATAGATATTTAACAAATTGAGTACTCACACTAGTTTAGTATATTGAACTATGCCTTACAGAATATAAAGAGATTACAAATACTTTTTATGTTTTTATTTAACTTTTTTTTTTTGCTAGTATATTATTATACTATAATGCATTTTACTGGTGTCTATTTGGCAGGTGGAACAACTTAAAAGAGTGATGTGTGGAAGGCTGATTTTTGAAAAAGCGTCAAAAGTGAAAAATACTTTAAAGACAAATAAAGATTTCGAACTGCTTGAAGATGATGAGGAGCACCAGAATACATTTCCGAACGTAAGACACTTAATATATAGAGAAAAACACATATACCATTCTGTATCAGTCTGAGACACAAATATCAGCCGAGGGCTGATATTGGTCGAGGGCTGATACAGGATGTCATATGAAAGAGGGTATTTTTATTATTATTATTATTACATATTTAGTAATAAAATACAGCGTAAATCTACTTGAGCGAATACAAATGCAACCCCCCCCCCCAAAAAAAAAAAACAAGATGAGTTTGTGAAACACTGATGCCCCCGTATGACAACTTATGACAAAGTGTAAAGTTCCTCAAATACCAGTCAAACTCAAGTGATAAAAAATGTTGTTACCCAAACAAAGGTCTTGACCCAAGGAATAACTATGAAAAGTGAAAGCCCTAGTACCAACCGTTGAAAAATTATAGAGAAGGTTAAAAGTCTTTGAAAAGTAAGTCAAACGTCAATGTCAAATGATCAAAATTAATAGTGCCAAAGGGGAGGTCTTGTCACAAGGAATACATACATGTATGTGTGAAATATGAAAGCCCTAGCACCATCAATTCAAAAGTAATCAACAAGGGTAAAAAAATTTCTTCAAAAGTAGGTCAGATTTCAAGGTTAAGATCAAAAGGTCATAATTGTTGGTACACAAGAGAAGGCCTACAGTGTAGTTACAAGGAATACACATTTGATATATGAAAGCCCTAGTTTCAACTGTTCAAAAGTTATTAGGTTAAAGTTTTTTTCAAAAGAAGGTCAAACACCAGGGTCATAGGGTCAAAACTCTCAGTACCCAATGAAATGTCTTGTCACAAGGAATACTGATGTGAAGTATGAAAAGACTAGTACAAACCGTTCAAAAGTTATTGCCAAGGGTATTTTTTTAATGAAGGTCAAACTCAAAGGACTAGGTCAAGGGGTCAAAAATGTTTGTACCCAAGAAAAGGTCTTATCTTATAAACGTGAAGACTTCAATTTATCTATTGTCATCTTCCCTTTATTTATGTAGCAATACGCCATGATCACCTGCATATTGGTGTTTATGTCTCTTAAATTATTTGATACGCAAGAGCATGTGATGATGTTCTACGTAGGAACAAATTCTAAAATAAGGCAGGCTACTGAAAAATAAATAGATGATTCAATCTCGTTTAAACTCAACATTTGTCAAATTCTATGATCGATACAATGACCTTGTTGGCAAATCAATCAATTGTTAAAAACTCGAATGTCTTTCATACGAATTGTTAGGCCGTTATTTTAACACTCCATTGTCTACGAGTTTTCTGTTTACCCGATCATGACAAAAGGCACACAGCGGATGTGAACTCACACTTCTATGACACTTGATTCCATCTATGTTTTCAGAGAGCTGTGTTTGATCTGCTCACAAATTGTATTGTTCAAGTGGACTTTGAGCATAATAATTGATTATCTTCACATTTTACTGCCATAAACATATTACATCTGCATGACACTAATCTTTGAATACCTTAAAAGGGTAAATACAGGTATATTAATGAAAATTTAAAGAATTCAATGTCATCATTTTCTTTAAAGGAGAAAACAATGGACAAAGATGAGTTTTTGAAACAGTATGTAACTAAAATTAAATTTTACACATGTAATGACTTATCTAAAATATTTTTTTTTTTTGTAAATCAAATGAATAACTTGATTATGATCAGTTTCTATAAATTCTTTCAATACTATGTATCAATAAAGTACGATTTCTAGTACATTTAATTGTTAGAATTAAAATTTAAAATGTAACAAATGTTATGGTATGATATAAAATGAGACCAGAATATCTCTTCAAACATATTTGAACATTGATTTGGGATTAACTTTTTATTTAAGAAGAGACAAGGCATATTCGTATGTTGCAGCAATTGATGTTGGAACTTCCTTCTCGGGATACGCTTACTCCAGTCACACGGATTTTTGGAAGGATCCGCTCAAAGTATTATCACCCACCTGGAATGCAGCTAATTACATCTCACAAAAGACGTCAACATTTATACTTTATGATCCAGATGATAATTTCCATTCATTTGGATCTGAGGCTGAGAAAACATTTATCGAGCTATTGGAACAAGACGAAGCAATGAACTGGAAGGCCTTCTACAATTTCAAGATGAAGTTGTATGAGGAAAACGTAAATGGTTATAAAGTTGCAATTGTAGGATGGTCAAAATGCTAGTAATTTTGATTGACATAGTTAAGTAGAAAAAAAAATTCTAAGAACTTTCCTTCTATTTTCTTCAGGTTACTTTGGAAAATGCAGAACTTCTTTTGGAAGATGATCAAGGTCGAAAGAAACCAGCTTTGGTAGTGTTTGCGGATTGTATTCGCTTTCTGAAAGACAGTCTATTCCATAACCTTCAGAAACAGGGAGTATACATCTCGACAGATAAAGTCCGATTTATCATCACAGTTCCTGCTATTTGGGATGACCAATCGCGTGGTTTCATGATAAATGCAGCCAATGAGGTGTTTTTTTTAAATTGATTGGATGGGTGGGTGGGTGGGTGGATGGATGGATGGATAGATAGATAGATAGATACATAGATAGATAGATATATCACAGTGTAATTTTTGATAAAAACAATTCTAGTGACATGTTTTAGCTGACTTAGAAAATATACTTTTAATTAACTGTAATTACTTTAAACACCATGAAGACTTTAATTATGCTAATTACTGTGTAACTCAAACGCGTCAATTTAATCAATTTACTCAACATGTCATGAGTTATTCTATCTAAGCCATATGTCACTCATGCTCAGAATTGTGCTAATTGTCATTGTTTTACTTTATTATTTATATGTTACATGCAACATTGTTAATCAGTCAAGTCCTAGGCTTCGGATTATTCGGGTGCAATTTTTGGATTTCCAGAATTCACCCTACCGACCTGAGTTTATAATAAAGCCCTATTCCATCGTTAGCATTTTTATGTTTCATTGTTACCGGAAAGTTATATACGTATTTTCCCCTGTGATAGATAGATTCGAGAAATGCTGTAAATTTATATTGTACATGAATACATTAACGCATTCAAAATTTAACATATTCGTCCTTATCAAATGATATGCGTAACCATAATTAAGCCCATTAAATGCATATTAACAATTACTTGAATAGGCAGACAGGAAGCAATACCAAAGATGCTTAGATATGATTACTGCTATATTAAGTAATTGCAACAATATCAATTACTTATTTATGATTACGAAAGTAAACGATTTTTTTTTAAAAAAGAGGTGTTAATAAATCTTGAAATCTATACTTAGATGTTTTGTAAACTTTCATGTTATGGTGACAATTTGTTAGGCTGGAATCCAGGAAGAACATCTCCTGCTCTCTCTGGAACCAGAAGCAGCAGCTGTTCTTTGCAAAGAACATCATGTGGATGAATATCATAAATCCGGATGCAAAGACCTCATCAATTTTGATTTTGGTTCCGAGTTTGTTGTAGCTGACTTAGGAGGCAAGTAAAAAATAGTCATTATGAAATGAAATATATGGAGATAACGAACAGTATTCAAGCTCAAAAGACCATGAAACTAAGACCATTATCTAAGAAAAAGATGAAAATCTTTCTCTCTTTCTCTTTCTCGCAGTGAATTGGAATACCGATCGTAAAATCAGAATTCATTTTCAAATCTTGAAAATAAACATCTTTTTAGAATTGAATTTTTTCTTACTTTTCTGTTTTTATTTACAAATATTTCCTAGTTCTAATTTCCAGCGTAAATTTTTGACATATAAATGTTTCAAATTCTTGTGTTGAACTTACAAAGGCTTTTTAGATAGCATTAATTAATTCAGTAGCTTTTTTTTATCGTATCGACTGGGTAATATTTTTGAGTCAAAAATTTGCATTGGATCATGTAAGATAAAAAAAAATCTGAAGAAGAACAGCTTGGCCATGTTGACCTTTTGAATGTTGTGGCTCACGTGCCCTTTTGTTAAGTAAAAATATCACAACCACACCTTTCGTCAATATAAAAAAAGTAATTTACCTAGTGAGTACTTTAAAGACCAGTCACTTTCCTTTTCTTTTGTAAATATGTTTCAGCAGATTAAGGACCTCTATTTTCAGGTGGAACCATTGACATCACTACAAACAAGGTTCTGCCTTGTGGAAGTCTGAAAGAGATAAAGAGTGCCAGAGGAGGCGATTGCGGTGGTACCATGGTCGATAAAGAATTCTTCCATTTTGTAAAAGATTGTATTGGTAGCAGTTATGACGACTTTAAGAGGGAAAATCTCTCTGAATTCCATGAACTGAGACAGGTTTTAGAAATGAAAAAGAGGCAAACAGGAGAGGTTACTCCGAAGTTTGTAAGCCTTACAATAACACCCGCCTTTGAACAAAAAATTGACCGATCCAAACTGGAAGAACACAACGACGGTATAAAAATTAGTCATGGAAAATTGCAGATTCCGGTCGAGTATTTTCAATCCTTTTTCAAGAAACCAATACAAGGTATTTTGACATGTCTCGAGGAAGCTGTCACAGACGAAATAAAATCCATACTCCTTGTCGGTGGATTTGCAAATTCTAAAATAGTTTACCAAGCTGTAAAAGAAAAGTTTCCAAGCAAACATGTCTACTGCCCACCTGACGCCGACCTATCTGTTTTGAAAGGGGCTGTTATCTATGGACACAACCCTGATCTTGTAGCCAGTCGAATCAGCAGAGTCTGGTTGGGAGTAATCCCTGATGAAAGTTTTTCTCCTGTGAATCTTAGAGATTCCCAAAACAATTTTTACGTGCTCACACAGAAAGGTCATCCAATAACGGTAGATGAAAGATTTTATCATCGTTTTATCGTGGACGAAAAATGCGACAAGGAAACCCTCCGTCTAACAATTTTTTCGTCAGCTGCTGATAGCTTGCCAACTTCATCCTCGGAAGATTTAAAGCGCATAAAATGCTTTGAGCTACCCTTACCACCACCTAGAGTAGCAGGAATAAGGATTATAGTACTAATAGTTAAACTAAAGGGAACGCAATTCGATTTCAAGGCAAGAGTGAAATCAAGAAGTCAGTGGCTGTAACTTTAATTATAGCATTTTAGATACAATTACTGTATCTTCCTTTTTATATATGTTTATTGGTTAATGAACATTTTCTCTTTCTTTACCCCTATCTCTGTTTATGTATTATTATTATCATTTTCATTATTTCCCTAAATATATACAATTCTTGTTCAAAATAATAACGTTATTTACATTGCATCCAATAAAACGCTTACTAAAAAATTCTTCGTGTATGATGTTGATTTATGCTACCGGTATCATCGTATTGGGAAATTTATACGAAAGGCCAGAGGGTTCATTCGATATTCAATACGAAATTAAAATGAGAGATTCGAAATTCAAATTTCAGGATTAAATATCCAAATTCATTGATTAGAAGGTGCGTTGAATATTCGATTACTTCCCTTTGCTAATTTTTGAAAAATCGTTTTACAAATACAACGGTATTTGTAATTACCAGGTCAGTTGATAAAAAAATTCTGCAAGATAAAATATAGGTATCAAAACTAAAAAAAAATAGATTTTGGGTTTAGTTCTGTAAGAGATATATATGTTTTACATGTAATTCTCATTATTTCCTATTAGATAAAGCAATTGCTAAATATATATAAATATTTATTCAGCGGAATGACTTCAATAATAACAGAATAATCAGTTATTTATATGTATATATTACATTCCGAAATTCCGTATACTTCCTAAAATATGCTGAAATAAATTCCAAAATTGAACTTTTTCTGTACTTGAAATAAGCTAGAATAATGCGAAATTTCGGAATGAACTTTGGTAGTAACGTGGTTTGTATAAATGTGAAGAGATGTAAGAAAGATTTGATTCATAAGTATTTTATTCACGGTATTGGGTACCCTGCTTGAGAAGTTCCATACCTTTATCTTTTTATACCTCCATTTTTTCTGTCGGATAAAAGCAATCTAAATGCTGTAACTAAAACATAAATATATGAAACAGGTGAAGATAACGAACAGTGATGGATCTCAAAAAATCTACAAACAAAATAAATCTATGAACAATGCATAAATCACACACACACACCCTCACACACACACACACACCCTCACACACACACACACACACCTGGAATTTCCACAAGGGGGGGGGGGGTCAGATGCCTAGGAGGAGTAAGCATCACCGGTGACATCCGATTGACCCCTAACTATTGATCAGGTATAGTCGAAGTATTCCGTCGACAAATTCAGACTCTGTTGGATCTTTTATTTTGAGTTCACTGAGAAACTATAGAAGTATATTTTTCGCGTGGTATTAATTTACGCTATGTACGTGGTCACGATTTTCCCGCTTAAATTTTACTTTGAGTACATTTAAAGCACATAGTGACAATTTAAGAAATCCGCGTAATTTTCTACCCGCGGATTGACAGAAATTGTAATTCCACGGAATTATTGATCCCGTGGAAAATATACGTTTACAGTACATCGAGTCGACATATGAATGAAAGTAACTATTGTTATTTGATAAAACGTCGTCAATATATCTAAATATCGAGTTGAAGGCTACGGGAAGTGTTTTCTTCTTGTCATGTAGAAGTTGCTTCATTGGGATTTAAAAACAAATTGGCAAATAAAGGAGCACGATTAGTCCCATCGAAATTCCTACAGTTTTTTGGATGCTGTGGTTCCCAAGGACTACATAAATATTGTCAATATGGAACTGAGTGTCCTTTTGATATCAACTTCAGAGTACTTGTGTATAGAATCAGAGTGGTTTGTAACAAACTAATTTTTTTGTGACCAATCACAAGATAGGAAAATTTTCGACTTCCATTTTTATTGAAGAAGCAGTTGTCTATGATATCAAAAATCTTGTTTTTAATTTACAACGAGGAATGGTTATATAAAGTGTAGAAAAGTCGTACGTTTTGATATTACCGACTTTTGAAAAATTAGAAATTTTAAAGTTCTTTAGAGTTTTAGAGAATTCATATCTAATTTACATCACTTCTAGAATATGATTTAGTACAGCGCTTCTAAAGATATCGGCTCTATAGAACATTTGTTGTATCCGGCAATACTTAAGTATATCTTTGTAGGGATTTTTATGCAGTTTAGGAATCCAGAATATATAGGGTAGATCGAACTCAGTTTGGTTCACTGGAATGTTAATAGAATTATAGATTGAAATGTGAGTTTGAAATATGTCATCCTTAGAAAGTGAATCTCGACTGTAAGAAGATCTCCAGAAGTAGAATTAAAACCAAGTTCTTCTAAAACACAGTTATAAGAAATTCCACACAGTTTTCGATGAAGTGTCTGACTGAATCATATAATTCAAAGTACATAGGCAATTTTGCCACATATGATCCACATATGCATTGCCCTTCATATGAGGATCATATAAGGATCATATGAGAATCATATGTATATTCAATCATATGAGTATCATATGTGGCAAATCATATGTGGATCATATGAAAACACATATGTAAATCATATGAAGCAATATACATATGATACACATATGAAAGATATTGCATATGAGAATCCTATGTATACTTTGAGAATTATCATATGAGAATCATATGAAACAGATCTGTGAGTGTTTATATATTTGTCCTTGTTATAAACAGGTAAAATTCATTTTTATTTTAATTCAATGAGATAAAAAAAAAATACGTTTATTCAATGTTAATCAGTTATTAAGTACCAGTCCGCGTAAAAATCAGACAAAAGTAATATTTAAGTGATTCACTGAGGTTCTCAGAATTCAATGATTTTCCACACATAGATTTCTCTTGCACTATGATCCATGAATGTAAAATGAAAAATGTTTTGGATCATGGTTACTATGGAAACCTGGTCAAAGTAATTTCCTTAGCAACCAGCCAATTTTTCCATCTGAAAGGACAAAAAATCACTTATCTTTAAAGCCTGAAATTATATATAAAAACTTTAACAATTATTCTTATTTACTGGTATAATAAAGACACACACTTTAGGTGTTTAAACAACACAAGACATTGATATTTTATTCAAAGGTAGTACTGTGGTAGACATTAGAATATATAAATGTTTTTGCATTTTTGCTGACTCAGCATTTTCCTCGATTTTGACAATATTGAAAGTCAATTTAAAATTAATACCAAGCTAATACAGCTGTTATGTTTATTTCACCTAAAAGGGGAGGACTCCCTCTTTTAGACTCTAACTTCGAAAACGCGGGTTTTTTGAAAAATCCTATCCGTTGCCTAGCAACAAAGTTGGATGTTTTGATAAAGAAAAAGTGAAAAATGGTAAAGAGTTGAGTCAAAAATCTTATAAATTGTTATCTTTTAGTTGTAGATACAATTTTTCAAGTAATAGAAAATAACTCTCATTTATTTAAAAAATGAATCAATAATTCATATTTATTTATCTCCATGGCAACAGAAAATTTTCCATAGCAACAATGCAAAAAGGGTTATTTTTTGGCATTTTTGTATAGAGTTATAATATATACAAATAGATAATTTTTCTTTAAAATACAATTTGGCAAATCTGTCAATTTAAGAGCCATTCTCTGTAACGACTTGAACTTTTATATAGGAGCTGTGGCACGCATAGTCTCAGAATTTCTCCAAACGCTCTATGATAAAAGTCTTTGATACCGTAAACTCAAATCAGGCAGAAATTGGTTGCTACGTGTCATGGTTACCATGGCAACATGTCCTAAAGTTTGAAAAATGGCATTTTTCAACATGTTCAGAGTCCCACAGTTAACGTTTGCAGCAAAGCAAACAAGTGGCAGTGATTGTTTCTGAAAGTTGAAGGCCTGATGTCTTAAATGCATGATAAACATGTTTGGTAAATCAACTACTACATACGTTACTATGGAAACAAAGTATTCAAAAGTAATAATTTTGCTCATTTAATTTTACACAGTCATACACTTAAGAATAAAAATAAATATAGGTTGAAATGCAAGCAAATAATAGACAAAAGATCCTTGTAACATATACCAAGGAAGAAATATGATATTTCTTATAGGTTGGCAATGGTTGCCATGGTTTTAATACCAAGAAAGGATTTTAAATTTACTCTCTTAGTGATTAAATTTAATCCTATCTTTTTAAAAAGCATATTTCTATATAACAAATGATCAATTTTTAAAGATGTTCATGTGACCCTAATTCTCACATTTCAAAAAATTCAAATTCAATTCTTTAAATAGAGTGTTGCTATGGAAATAAGCCGAAAAAATATGCATAAAAATCTGAAAAATATTCTGTTTCCTTGGATACGTACCCTTGTATGTAGATTCCCAAAACTTTTATGATTGGTAAATATGAACAACTAACCTGACTTTAAATTTTGACTGCCACCCAATCTCTAACTGGATGCAAAAAGCTGGCACATACGGTTTAATATTGATATAAAATTAACAAAATCGGACATTTTCCCTTCTTGGTTACCATAGCAACAGTGTTGTATTTTTCAACAAACGTTATCAATATATGATATTCAACTTTAGTTTTACCAGATAAGTACTATTCAAGGTGAGTCAAATAATATGTTTCTTGAATAAAAGGTAAGTAAATTCCTAAGGCAGCAAAAAAAATATCGTTTTAAACTACTGGTACATTGTTTCCATGGTTACACTGCAAAGTAACAATTAATCCCAATTTTTCTTATGTTGTCGGTGTTGCAAGGTCCTAAGGATGTATATGTGCCAGTCATGAAATTTATGATTTTTCCTGAAGATAGTAGCATTAACCCAATCTTAGCAACACATTTTGGATGGTAACACTGTGTTACCATGGCAACCATAAAAGTTATTTTTAGAATAATATTGCCAATACCTAATTACTTAAGGTCAAATATTTTTATTGTTTTTCATTAGGTTGTTGATTGAGTTTGATCATTTAACACCTATCATTAGTGAATATTGAGCGTTTTTCTGCATTTTTCAGCATCTAGAATGTATTCCAAATGTACCCATGGTTACCACTTACTTAGAGATAAATTCTAAATAGTTTCTTTATAGCATAAGTGGCAACAAGGTGTCAGGTTTTGGGGAGAATGGTTTGTTTG